TCAGTCATCTCCTCCCATTATACATTCATTATAAAATCAAAATGTCTCTCTGGTAAATCTTTTCCTGTCTTCAGTATCTGTTTAGGGAATAGGGGGAGGTGAATGCTTGCATACATCCCAGGGATGAGACCCAAGTATCATAATAGGAGGACACCTATAGGATTGATACATGTGTAGAGAAGTGAATAGGTTGGGAAAGGAGGAGACTAATACTATGGATTATTAGACTATCCCGGCCAATAACAAGATTGGCCTACATATACAACTGAAATCTTATCTCCACAGGCTATGAGGTTAAATACAAGTAGATGGTAATCCATTGGGCTTTGCCTTGATCTCCCTGGAAGGCCCTCATTTGGGTGCTGTGCGCACTGTTCACTACTCTCCTGTTCTGCCTCTCCTTTCCGCCTCCCTCTCCTGCTCTTCTGTTCCCGCTTGTTGCAGGTGCCGAACGTTGCCAAATATCCACAGACAGCTAAGACTCCTGAGGAAGCAATATCGTGAAACGCGGCAAATCTTTACACCAAGATTTATTATCTACGGTATTGAATACCCTATGTATATGAAATTATCATGTTGTAACATAATTAGAATGAAATAAGGTGGATATGTGCACTTTTGATATTAAGATTTTAACATGAATCAATAATCAAAATTTTTTTTTTTTTACACAGACATGAGTTTGTAAAAAGTCTCTTTGCCACCTAAAAAGCCACACTTGTTGTTTTATGTTCTATCGTCGCATATTTTGACTGTTGCGTCTCTCTCTCTCCAGTGGGCCCTGGATTGCCCCTCTCCATCCCCTTGAAGGTCAGACCCTATTCTGGCCAGGAAGGAACCAGTGCATATTTTCTCTAGCACTCTGCATACTGAGCCACCACCAAACTTTTCAGGCATGCAGAACATTAGCTTTCACCTATCACAAGCAGACATGGAAGGAGGGGAACGACACCAAGCACACAGTGCCCTGGTCCTACCTTACCTCTACCATTTGCCGAGGCTGGCAGGACAGGTAGGGGGAAGTTGCCACATCCACGGATGGGTGTAGTCTCCAAATGTATACTCATACTGCCCAGACATTTGCGGCGCGGATGCGGGCGGGTCTGCGAGCGTGAGGTGGGGAGGAGGTGTGGCGTGCAGCATGGGTGAACAGGGCCAACTGATCGGAAGCCGATTAAATCGATTATTGAAAAAGTTGACAACTTTTTCAATAATCGATTATAATCGATTGTCGATTAGTTGTTGCAGCCCTAATTCTGTCATCATGAAGGATTGTGGAACCTCAGGGACTGCAGTGGGGTGCTTTCTGCTGGCTGGCAAGAATGGCAGCTGCATGGAGATTTGTGAAATTACCTAGCTTAAACTTTTAGACAGTTTGGAAAATTCGGGATAACTTGGATGGGGTTGCAACAGGTAGTATAATCAAATTGTTTTTCCCCACTTTTACAAGGGCCAGACTGAGCACAGTAATGACTCAAAAAGCTAGTAGTCGGTCAAGGAAAATTAGTGCAGCAGATGTAAGACATCATGCTGACATCCCTTCACAACCAGAAGAAGTCTAGTGATACCATCAGCTCAGACTTGGCAGATACCAGTGGGACCCTGGTACACCCATCTCCAGTCTGAAGAAGTCTGGTCAGGCCTTGTTCACACCAAGCGTGGAGCAGAGCAGTTGCAGACCGGATCAAAACTGCGTCCAATGTATTCCAATGGTATTTTTTGCTCCAGTTCACATCGCAGCGTGCCATTCCAGAGCAGGTGAAAAAACTGCAACAGGCCCTATTTTACCTGCTCTGCATCTGCAAATGCATCAAAAACGCATGCAAATGCCTGGAACGCACTGAAAGCCCTTGTTAAACGTTAAAAAAAAAAATATTGTTTTTTAACCAAATACGGCCCGGAACGCATCAAAAACGCGGCACAACCCACTGCACTGCGTGTGCAGAAACCTGAGCGTGTGCAGAAAATGACAGCAGGTGCTGTGCACCAATAAGTTAAAAATCAAAACATTTCTGGCAATAACGGCCCGGAGAATGGCACCAGGATGAGTGTCTGCAGGTAACAGCAAAGCATGGAGGAGGTTCCTTGAAGGTTTGAGACTGCATTTGTGCACATGGCGTTGGGCATCTGGTCCCAAATTCATTCTGCAGCAGGACAACAACCCCAAACATACAGCCAAAGTCATATAGAACTATCCTCAGGGAAAGAAAGGACATCCTATCCTAGACAATGAACAAACTACCTGCCAAGTGTCTTATAAAACTGTGTGCACATGTACTTAGAAGAATTGATGCTGTTTTAAAAGGCAAAAAGGATACACCAACTATTGATTTAGTATTTTTTTTCATATTCTTGGACTTTTTAGTTTGTAAATTGATAAATAAAACTATTTGTTGCAATTTTTTGTGTTTAAAGCTCCCTCTACAAGTGCATAGCTTTTGCACAGTATTGTATTTTTTTTACAGAATCCTAAGCGATCATTAGCACTGCTTTGTCAAAAGTATTACTGAGTATCTATGCTGTCTGTCTACTATGTCAAATGTCTTCCCTATGTACTGCTTGCCCACCAGATATTACTGGCACATACATTATGGCTGAAATCTGAGCTGTAGAAAAGCAAAATGCTATAGATAGCCTGCAAACAGAAGGTGGGAAATCAATGTGTTATACCTTTCCACGTTGCTTTTTTTTTTACAGTGAATGAATCCAATGTTTGTAGACTAGGCAGAGAGCTGGTAAGGTGTATATACTAATGATATTCTGACTTTCAAGTTTTAAAAAATATTTGTCTTCTGCAGTGAAGTCAAAGGCTGTGGGGTAATGGAACAATACTTCTGCGGATGTATTAAAGCAACCCCAATAGGCTAACAGTGTTGCTTCCTGTCAGAGTCACTGTCAACCAGGCAGAGGATGTGCACTGGCTGGGCAGAATGAAAGGACATGAGATGCTGTTCAAGCCTTTAAGGCCGGTTCACACCATAAACAGTGCATTCCAGAGCGGTCAGGCTCTGGAACGCACTGAATCGCATTCCGTCCGGCTTCCTGCACTCAGGGGTGGGAGGGGGCGTGGCAGGGCATTGAAGTCAATGGCACGGCATCCACACCCCCTGCCCGCACCAGAACGCATGGCACATCAGTGCCTGCATTACGGTCCAGTGCGATGCGCAAAAATGCTGCACTATTTTCTCTGATCGCACTGGACCGGAACGCAGACACTGATGTGCCACCCGTTCTGGTGCGGCCAATCACTCTGCGGGTGGGGGCGTGGCTGCGGTGCCATGGACTTCAATGCACCACCCACGCCTCCTCCTGCAGAAAGCCGGACGGAATGCGATTCAGATTCTAGAATGCACTGTTTATGGTGTGAACCGACTCGTAGTCCTGATGCTGGGGTGCTAATGCAAGGGTGACAACACCCCTATGGCATTGCAAGCAGGGCAGTAAGCATTCACACCTTACTATAGGAAGTACCACTGACTAACACAAATTGGCAGAGTGAACTTTTTAAAAGGATATGCAATGCAGTTTTGAAGACACAAAGACAGCTATGTAATTTTTGAGTTTTTTAGGTTTACATAGGCTTAACGGCCCATTCATACCAAAATTGCAAAGTAATCATAAGTCAACAAAGGGTCTATTGACTTATGAACTTATGTACCTTGCAATTAGTTGCATTGCGATCAGTTTTTCAACAGATTCTAAAGCAAGGGCACTGAAAAATCAACTGCTGCGTTGCATTCCGTTGAAAAAAAAAAAGTAGTACATGTTCCATTATATTTTTCCAGCGCAACATAACTGAGCGGTGTGAACTGATCCCCATTCATTATTTTTGGGGTTACCTTTCATTGGCATCTGTTGAAAAACGGATCTGGTGTGAATTGAACTGAAAGCCTATCTCCCCCTCCAGTGGGGTTACCCAGCACTGCAAAGGTTAACTGCTCATTTATGTCTAGGGGTATTGTGTACAGGACCCAATTCCTGCAGCCTCTTCCCCCTCAGGTGGTTAGAGGCCTCTCTGACATCATCACACCTAATGCAGGGCTCACAGCCCAGCAATATATGTGCAGACACTGAGGGACAGTTCACAAGCCAGAGCTTATGGTAAAGAGGTCACCAATTGCTGAGGAAGCAGGGGGGGGGGGAAATCAGGTAAGTAACAGTCCCCCTAACAGGGATCAATTAACCCTAAGGCCCCATTCACACCTATGCGTATTGTAATATGCGCGACCGTCACGCGTTTTTTTTACCGCGATTCACGGTAAAAAAGCCACGCGACCATCGCGCGATTCCAAAGGCTACTTGGCAGTATACTAATGGAAAACGCCCTACAAAACGGACCAATACACAGCAAAAAACGTTCCGGGACCTTTTCATGCGTGGGCCGTTTTGTAGTGCGTTTGGGACGGGCGGAAATACGGACAGGTGGGAACGAGGCCATTGACTACAGTGCTATTTATTTTTTTGACCGTTTTGTAGAGCGTTCATCGAGCGTAGGACGCGCTACAAAACGGTCAGGTGTGAACCAGGCCTTACAGTGCAGGGGTAGCCCCCCCTGCAAAGGGAGATTTAGCTCTTCCGGAGATAGGCTTGCCTTTCACACATTGGAAGGACAGACTAACGTCTTTACACCAAAACTGTTAGCTGATCATTTTCCCCAGACAGTTTTACATTTACATGGCACAATAAAGCCTGACAATGTCACAGTCGGAACATTCTGCTCCAGACAGCTTCGTAAACCGTAATAAATAAGCACACCCTATTTCGTCTGTTAGCTGATTCTTGAAATTAATATCATAGCCCTTAAGGGGAATGACATACAGCAGTATGTATAAGCGGCACTGGGGGGGAAAAAAAACACATAGGAGGCCAGGCAGTGACACATAGCACATTCCATACACAGAAGTGACAGCTGGGAGAGCACCCGCCCCGCCCCCTCCAGCTGTCTTTTCCTTCACCCTAGCCCCGTACGGTCACCCCTCACAGTCCCACCGCCAGCTCACCGAGGGCTCTCGGTCTCCAGCGCTCCTTCAGTCTCAAAAAGGCGATTATTCACCATCTCAACGTTAACACAGTTCGGTTGTCGCGTTCGGTCCCGGCGGAAGTGACGTCCACGCTGGGCGCGCCTCTGTTGCCAGGCTGGTGACGTCAGCCTTGTTTATGGTGCGACAGGTTGACTCACCTTTTCTGCGTGGAAACAGAGTCTTTCTGATGTCAGGGAGGTGAAGAGGTGTCCTACCGAGATGTAGGGATACCCATCCGGACGCTTTCCACTTATGCGGATGAAACCCAACTAGCTGACATATAATCTAGCTTTTAAAAAGAAAAAATGAACACACATTAAAAAAATGAATGTGCATTTATTGTTTTTTTGCCATTGGGCCTGCAAAGCACTGCAATCACTTCAGTGGATTCACGATGCCATGATGTAACGCTCAGGCCAGGGGCGTTTCTAGGTTGCTAAAGAACACAGCTGGGTACCTAGAGAAAAATGCTGAATGGTTTGTAGTATACCATGATAAAAGAAAACGTGGGTGAAGTTTCTCAATCCTTAATATAATATTGACTGAATATAAAATTAAAATGTATGGTATTGCTTAAAAAAGAAGACAAACTTTCAAAAACATAACGGGAATTTATCAAAATGGCCGCAGACAAAATCTGGTGCAGCTGTGCAGGGCATCCAATCAGCTTCTTTCTTTCATTTTCAAAGCTGAACAGAACAAACTGAAGAGAGAAGCTGATTGGTTACCATGCACAGCTGCTCCAGATTCTGTCTGCTCCAGTGTTGATCATTTCCCCATAGTGTACTATAATATATATATCATTAATTAAAGGTAAGTTTTTGTGCTTTAATATTGTCTAGTGTTTAATATTGTTTAGGGAGAAAGCAATATGCATTGTGAGGTTCAGGTAAGTGTAGAAACCAAGTACTTAACTAAAAATGTGTCCCATGCTGCTACCTGTGTGATGATGTCACTGTGGCTACTAGACATCCAAACCTGCAAAACCTTATTTCAGGGAGGTGCCCTTTAGGTTTTTTTTGTTTTGTTTTTTACAGCGGCCATCGTCAGAATATAAAAGAAATAATAATGATAATAATATATATACATACATACAGTAAAATAAAATCCATATACCAATAATACAATAATATTATATATTTATATATACAGTACATCAGATTTGTGAATTGATGTTCAAGTATCTGTCAGTGTAAAGGTCACGATTTATTAGACAGCCCAAGACCTTTTTAAAAAAACGCTGAGGAGTAAAGTCCCTAATACACAGTTGACTAGTTGCTATGGGCAGCAAATGAAATAAATGTTCTCTATAACTAGACAACCAGGACATATAAGGCTACTCTAGAGATCACATGACCTTCCTCCAGGAGGCAAGCCTCGTTCTGAGGCTACTCTAGAGATCACATGACCTTCCTCCAGGAGCCAAGCCTCCTTCTGAGGCTACTCTAGAGATCACATGACCTTCCTCCAGGAGGCAAGCCTCACTCTGAAACTTTACCCACTGATATTTTACCAGAAAGGTTTACTCAGAGTAAACCTTTCAGGGAGCAAATGCCTCTCTCGCGGACGTCAGGGAGCCGCTATCAATAGAGGGAGACTCCCTGAACATCAGGGAGACTTGAGATCCCTGGGATACTATGCTGATACTGTCAGCCGGTAGATCACTTCTCTTGGCAGTGTGAGCATAGATGAGGAGCTAGGTGCTAAAAGAAGTGTTCCAGCCCTTGGTATCTGCTGCTTCGTGCTACATGTGTGATAGCATGTAGTCTACACCAAGGGTGCATGTGAGAGAAAGATAACACCAGAGCACAATTGGGAGACAGTTGTCACCCAATCATACAAACTGCCTAAACCTTAAGGATAATAAGGGATTTTATCTAATTAAAGATTTAAAAAAAAGTTTGAAAACGATTTTTCAAATTACATTGTACATGGGGGGGGGGGGGG